CTGGTGGCCAGTTTCCTTGCTTGCCTGAGGTGAGGACAAACTCCAAGGGCTAAGAGAACTGGAGTCCCAGAGGCAAGAGCCCTGTTCAAACATGGAATTACTGATGTACAGAGGCTCTGTCAGTGGACATTTTATACATGCAAAGCACCAAGATCACTCTTTATCATGCATCCTGCCCCCCTACCACCTCCCCACGAAATGAAACTGTTGACCTGTTTGCCCTCTTACATCACTCTGTTTACTGGGGCATATAAACAGCCATGAGGCATCCAATGGGTTTAAGGTAGAGAGACTTGCCAACAAACCAGCTAGGCAGATTCTGCAAGAAGCTGTGCTGGGTACAGGGCCTACTATGAGCTAGTGTGGGCCCAATGACCTTCACAGCTAGAAACTAACCCCTTGGGGTCGGGTTAAAGAATCACCTGGCAACCATGTACCTCCTGGCACCCCGAGCTGCCGAAATTCAGTATTTCCTGTGACTTAAGGACTATGAGACTGAGGCTATTTCAATCACACATACATATGTGCTCAGTAGACCTTGCCAGCTTCAGTGTTACAAATCACATGCTTGCATTTTGAGTTGGGGGTGCCGCGGGCTGAGTATGAGGTAAGCGAAGGGTTTAAGTGATGTGTGAGACCTGGGGGTGGGTGACCATATCCTAACGCCTGTGGATGCCTCTGACCTGATTAAGAGATTAACTTCTCTCATAACCAATCTCTCAGCCCCCCCCCCGCTTCCTCCACCACCCCCACACACCTCGCTTATCAGTGAAAACTTTGACACTGAAGTATTATTTCCAAGTTTGGAAAGAGATCTGCTGCCAGCATAGAATTGATCTGATTCTGGTCTCTGTGGGTTGGTGAGGTCAAGATTCCACGCACTACTTGCCAGCACACTATAAAAGAGCATTTCACATAAACCAAACGCTACAAGGAATAACAGAGAGGCCCTCCTGGGTTCTGATGCTTCCTGGCACCTAACTCATGGTCACATGACAAGCAGCCAAGCAGAGGGACTGCCTTCCAGCTACAGCCTCATACCTTGGCAAGAAAGTGCTTTTGCCAAAAGTTTTATGGAGTTTGTTTAGCTCACTTCAAATATTTTAATTTAAGTAAATCATCCAAACCAAATTCAGTCCTTTCTGTTGGGAAGGAGAGCAGTGTGTGTCGGGTGAGTTATTAAGAGGCGACTATGCATGCTCTTTAGACTGCCCTGGGGTCTAATTCTAAGAGGACTCCCCATGTGAGTAGAACCCCAGCGCCTCTTCAGACCAACCTTACCCATTGTTCTGATATGAAGGACATGGATGGCTTCCTGCCCTTGTGACTGCTTCCTACCTACATAACAATAAACTTGCGTGGTTACTGACTCATGCGGAGAAGGCCTGTGAAACATGTGTTCCCTCTTTTCTGGAGGAAAAAAAAAGATCTCAACTTCTACTAAGACCAAGACAAGACCAAGCAGGAAGAAACTCAGGATTTTAGTGAGAGTCCAAGCGGTGCCACCACTGCTGAGAACAGCCCATTCTTCACTTAATATCTATGATCAACATGCAACCTTGAGTATCTGAGGGCTGTAATCAACTTCATATACGTATGTATGTATGCATGCATTTATGGAGGTATACAGTCTTGCCTCCTTACAGCACAGAATAAAAGGAAAACATATATGTTGAATAATATGTTGAATAATTCACAATATAAGTCCAATCCTATACAGTAAAGACAGAAACAAGCTTACGCAGGCTGTCTGCTGTAGCCTGCATTTTATCTCCCCCTTCCAAGCAATGGAAAGCAATGGCAGCATTTTTTAAGCAACCAGGTTGTCTTCACAATGACTTGTAAGCTCAGAGAGTTAACATGTAAAAACATAATCAATAAACCCAGAGGCCCTGGCCTTTTGATTTTAGGCTAGAAGGGCCCAAGGAGCATTTGACAATGTCTAGAGATGCCTGTCACTTAGAGGGAAGGGTTACAGTTAAATACTCTGCAATGCACAGGACATTCCTAAAACAAAGCCAATGGGTGGTGCAGGAGAATTGTCTATATTCTGTCAATCATGTTATAAATAAATGCTAATTGGCCAGGCAGGAAATATAGGCAGGAAAACCAGACCGGAAGTAGAAATGATTTAATGAGAACAAGAGAATTCTGGGAAGGAGCAAGCTGATTCCTTCCACTCCTGCCCAGACCACCGAAGCAGCAGGATGTGATCTGCCTCACTGAAAAAGGTACTGAGCCACATGGCTAACATAGATCATAAAAATGGGTTAATCAAGATGTGAGAGTTAGCCAGTGAGAGGCTAGAGCTAACAGCCCAATCAGCTTAAAATTTATGAAGACCTATGTATGAATTTCTTTAGGGCTAAACAGTTGTGGGGTACTGGGAGGGACAAAAACCCCAAACAAGCAGACATGGCCCTTCATGATACAGATGGGGAAACTCTCAGTAAAACAAAGGCTGAAAACCCTGGCATCTTCTAGAAAACACTGGCCTTGGCTTGACATTTTGGCCTAGGTTTCTCCCTCTAGAAACCTGTATGCCAGAAGGGGTTTTGTAACTAATAAGACAAGGAAAGAATGGGCCCAAAGGTTTGTTCCAGATCTTGGCTATAATAACAACGGAATTTCAAAGTAGGAGGTCTTCAGGCCGTAGCTAAGGGACATCAGGAAAAGTCTACCTGGATGCGGTATGGAAAGCTGGGCATCACCTAAAAAGCTGGAGGCTATCCCACGTCTTAAGTGAATCTGAGCAAATGAGTCTCGCCGAGGAGAATGAGTTTTACAGCAGGGACGGAGAACTGCTGGAGAGCAAGCGAGGGGAACAGATGGAAAGAACACTAGGGGAAATTGAGAAATAGCCATCTGATGATATAATCCAGACTTGGGCCGAGAACTGCGTGCCTGCATCCTTCCAGCTCTGACCTGCAGGTGCAGGTGCAGCGGGTGGCCTCCCAATGCCCCTCCAGCTGGGTGGCTTTCTCTAGTTGTCTCCCCGGGTGATGGGAGGGACGGATCAGCAGATACTTCCCACAAGACAGCCCTCCATATGACTGCTTACAAATTCTCTTCCTTTGTCTTCTCTTTTCCCCTTTTTATTTCTCTTTAAGTCACCAGACTTCTAGATACGGAGAGGCCAGATTGCAATGGATAAACTAATAAAATCTAGCTTTACTTGCAAAAAATGTCACTAATCTCGCCATTGTGACACTTAGAAATTAGGGGAGTTCCAAATTTGCTTTGTTTCTGTTTCTGTGTAAAATTCATGTTCTTCCCCCCTTCCACCCCCCGCCCCCCAATAGGATTTCTTTGTGTAACAGTCCTAGCTGTCCTGGAACTTGCTGTGTAGACCAGGCTGACCTCAAACTTACAGAGAGCTGCCTGTCTCTGCCTCCCAAAATTAAAGGCATGCGCCATACCACTTGGCTTAAATCCATGCTCTTGTGAGGCTGATAACCAGGTAACTGGGAAACGTGCACATGTGTGTCATGCAAACAGAAGAGATGACCTGCAAAATATCAGAAGGCCCGGGGAGGCCTGCCTCTCCTCCATAGTCTCTCTCTGCTTCATTGTCTACAGAGGAATGCAAACAAATCCATTGACGTGGTTACAGAGGAAAATGCTATCAGGGCACCCTGGAGATTGCTCATACAGAAGGAAATGGAGCTGATGCGGCCTCTGAACCAGCCACACATAGAGTCTCTGGACGAGGACTACGGGGAACAGTCCAGGCTGAGACGTAAGGAGTGTCTGGATGACGACTCAGGGGAACAGTCCAGGCACACGCTTCTGAATCACCTGTGTGTCAACCATCGCTGCTTCTCCTTTCTGCATTAATTTCTGAATTAGCTGTCATGCATCATCAACCTCCTTTGAGCTAGTTTATGATTTCATTATCTTCAAAGGAAAGGTCTTTTATTAAATCTATAATTTATTTTTTGCTAATTCAATAAACAGCTTCATCCATTGTACAATTTCATGGCTCTCTATTTTTAAGCCAATAGTATCTATTAGACATGGGTAATATAGACATGAGCATTAACATATAATATATTAACATATAGCAGTTTCCCATGTATAATTTCATATAGATACAAAACGACACATATTTATGTATATGACATGAAATAGTCAAAGGAGGGAAAACCAGGAGCAATATAAACCCTGGTTTCAGATAAATAAAAGAACAAACCTGTTGCCATAGCAAAGTTGCTTTCAACAGCACGAAAGTCCACTTCTGTCAGCCTGACTGACTCATAAAACAGTTTCTAATCAACTTCCTGACTCTGCTAATGCTGCCCCCATGCATCAAAAATAACAATGTATGTCTAACACCACTATTTCAATAGCATGCTTCAGGAAGCTGTCTCGAAGCCAGGTGTATTTCGGGACTAACACAGTGATTTCCTGATAGAGGTAAGCAGAAGTCCCCGTACGGGGCTGATGTGAAACCCAGCGCCGTGTTCTGCCCCGGAGATTAACAGAACAACAGCAGACGGCTCGCAAAATTCAAGACTGTTAGAGAGACCCTTCAAGAACTCAGCTAAAAGTGTCAGGATGAAAACCACATCAGAAGTGCCCGGGAGAAAGGATGACGGGGATGGGGGAGGGAAGAAGAAGGGCAGTTGTTTGGTGGTATAAAGAGAAGGAGTGAATCCCTGAGCGATTACGGATGTCTGGCTTTGCCGGGCATCATTATCCTAGCCCCAGGACTGAAAATGCTGTTAGCCATTTCAAATGTGCATTAATTTATCTGTCCTTTAAAACTCCATCTAACCACTTGTCTCCCGAGCTCTCCTGACAGCAGATTCTGATGGAGATATCCACACTCCAGTGTCTGTGAAAGGGCAACAGCTGATTCCGGGTGTCTATGGGGAGGTGGACACGTCCATCTCATACCTACAGAATTGAGTCTACAGAAGACTCACAACAGGTTTTCCTATTCATCAAAAAATATCAAACAAATAGAGCACATTTTTTTTTCCAAAGAATGAACTTACTTTCAGTGCAAATGGGACAGCATCCTTTCCTGTTGAGAATCTTACCCTGGTCAAGAAGGGGGAAAAAAGAAACACCAGAGTTTAATGTTAAGAAATGGTCCGTTGGGATAAATCTTTTTTCAAAAATCTAATAGCAGCATTTAAAATCCTAAACAACATCAGCCCAGATTGTCCTTGAACTTGATGGTGATGACGGCAGTGACAAATGAAGTTTCAAGCATCAGGTTCCCAGGGCAGCAAAATCATTCCAAAAACCTTTCCTGTTTTTATCCTTTACGAAACAGGATACCTCAAAGTACGGTGTGATTTTTCTCACATGGAAGGAAGATGGAGACAGCCTGGACACAACTTCCTCACTGATCGCCAAATCAAGCCCTGTAGAGGTCAAGTGCATTCACACACAAATGGGCACCACGACCACTCTGTCCACGCTAGCACAGCCTTCTTCCTGCTGTGCTCAGCTAGCTCCCCTGGATGCTGCAATCCAAGCTCGGGATGCAGGCATCCTCTGGATACAGGGCACTGCAGACCGAACTCAGCCTGGCTTCTTCCTCTGTAACATCATCCATACTAACTCACTGCTCTATCATCAAAGCCAGTGAAGCAGCAGAGAGTTCTGTAGTAGGGAGTAAGTTTCTATCGCTGCTCTGAAAATGCAGTGCAAGTTCCTAGTCAAATGCCTTTCCGCTTCTTCTAAAGCCTGACATTTAAAGAAGGAACCATACTCTGCAGACCATGTCAGAAGATGGCCTTTTCTAATCTCTGACTCCATGATAATGTGGAAGCAGATTAACATCCAAGGAACTACTCAGTCATGTGACCTTGGACTGCTTGTGAGGATTTAATGAGCTACTGCTTTAAGGCTCAATGATATGATAGTCAATGGTTACTAAACAATGCAAAACCTTCCTGAGCTGAGTATATCACCTTCCGTAGGTGAAGAAGCTGCTGCCATGCGACACGAGGGTGCTAGAAACAAAACGTAAACTTCATTTCAGGGGCACCACAAGCTACATTCTTTTACCAGATTTTGATGCCACAGTTCTTCGAGACATTAATTATTGCCTGCATTCAGTACAGGCTGCTGTTTGTGCCCCATGTTTCACCTCATTTGAAATTCACAGCCACACTCAGAGTGGGGATGATTTCATCCCTTTTGACAGAGAACAAGGAAGCAAAGAGCACCAAAAGGTGGCCCAAGACCCAGAACAGAGACCTACAGCTCCGCTCTGCTCATTCAGTACCGGCGAGGGCTGTGCAAAGCAGGTTGGATTATTTTCAAAGTAAGCAATCCATTGGCTTTTCAGATGACATTTTGCTACTGAAGAACGAAAGCCTGTGATGGCACATTAGACTCCATAATGCCAAAGGGCAGTGGTTCGGCCTTGCAAATGCTGCAACCCTTTAATATGGTTGCTCAGGCTGTGCTAGCCCCCAACCATAAAATTATTTTCATTGCTACTTCATAACAAATTTTCTACTGTTATAAATTATAATATAAATATCTGGTATGCAACATTTGTGACAGAGTCATTCGACCCCCCCCAAAGGGATCACAACCGTGAGGTGGAGAACCATGACCATAGGGAATCTCATTTAACTTCTCAAAGACAGAGTCAAAGAAGACCATCCCATTCCCATGGAGGGGTCTCTGCAGAAGCTGGTCCGAAGCACTCTGCCCCCACTGGAATTGAGGGTTTAAAGCCAGGTTTCTATACAAGTGTGACCGAGCAATTCTGTACATCTGTATCTCAGTGGATACTACCGTTTCCCTTGTTCAGCAAATGAAAGTAGAGCTGGTCCTGTTAGTAAATTAGTGGGAAGAGAATAAAGCACACACTGGAAGGTCAGAGAGCCGGGCTGTGTGTCATGAGCTGGAAACTGCACACACTGTAGCCTCATCTGGAAGAAGATTCTAGTCAGAGCCTACTTTGGCAGAGAAGTCTTGGGGGAGTGAGGATGCTTCTGTGACCACAGGAAAAAAACTCAATATACAAGGATGATATTTAGGAGAAAGGGAGCTGATGGGCTCACCCATCCCCAGCGGGACTCCCAGAGCCTTGGAAATTACGTAGGAGGATGCAGAGGGAATACAACCACAACCCCCTTCTGAAAAAAAAAGAAAAAAGAAAAGGTGTGGTACCCAAAAAGGATGTAGAAGCCAACACAGACTCTTTCCAGGATTTTAATTTTAGTATTCTTTTTTAAAAACTTCCCGAGTCAATGATGGGAAGGTGAAATTACTGTTTAGTTTTCTTTCTAAAAGGGCTTCAAGGTAGAGCTAACCGATCTCCAAAGATTTCGTGCTGGCTCTGAGAAGGAAAAGTGTGAAGGGGAAGGCAGGTTGGAAGGATGCCTAAAAACTAAAAGCTGGTTCTGGAGGCTGCAGTCACGCCAGGGTACTGGCATTAATTGCAGCGGGGGACGGACGGGCTGGGCAAAGGCTTTCCTGGGCGGGATGGACGTCCCGGGCCTGAGTGTGGAACACACAGTGTGATCACTAGGGAGACAGACACAGGCAAGAGAACTGTTTCCCAGCAGACACCACGGACCCAGCTAGGAGCGAAGGAGCGGCAGAGCTGGCGTCAAGCTGGAAACGCCACAGTGGCCTGCTCAGGCGAGTTACGCGAGCCACCAGCTTGGCGCTGCTCCCCAGTTTTGTCTTGTAGAATAAGGAAGCCCATTATTACTACCATGTGCCGGGAGAGTTCATTAGCAGCGAGGTTCCCCGAGGACTGGCAGAAATGATGGGATTCCATTTTTCCCAATGAATATTTATAAGCGGTCCATGTTCAAGTCTGCTTATTGTACCTACTTTTTTTTTTCTTTTATGGGAAGTTTTCAGTTTTATGTCTGAGGCTTTTTAAAGCAGGACTAATTAGGGGAGTTTTTTTTTTTACCCTTGTCTCCTCCCCTCTCCCAATTCAGTTGTGCAATGGCAACAGCTGTTGTTTTTTTGTGCCTCATTTGGCACTCAAGTAAAAACAGCAACTTTTTGTTTATAATAATAACAGATGTGAATAAAATTAAAAGCTTTCTATAATGGAGACTAGCGGACATGTTCTGAATATATGGATATGTTTTCTTCATTCACTGCAAGGTACTGAATAGGTTTGACATTTTCCCAAAATGCACAAAGCCTTGAAAGGTTTCGAGTTGCTGAGGTGAATTCAATGGAGCCCACGCTTCAAAGATAATGGTGGCTTTATTCAAGCCTCTGGGCTGTGGGCTTTTGAAAAGAGCTATTTCCATAAGGATGCTATTTCCATGTGCGGCTACAATGGAGGCCAGGGCCAGAGAAGAATTTTTCGCAAAAGAGTTGGGGCTTCTGCAAGGCAAGGCAATCCTCCTGGGGAATTTACTATTAAACAACCACATATTACCATGGCTATGAGAAGAAAGCTGAGATCTCAGAGAAAAGCAAAGAAAGAGAAGCAAAATGTAGTTATAATGTTAAATAGAAAATCCAACAACAGAAAGACAAGGTCTAGGCAGAGAGAGTGGGAGAAGGGTTTACATAGACGGATGAGAAGTCAATCAAGAGTAGGAAGACTGCAGCGTGAACTGGGAAAGAGTTTTGTCACACAAGGCTAGACTCCCAGGTGGGGATAGCAAGAAGGAATAGCAAGCTACACAAGAGGCTTCAGCTACTGGGGTCTATGTCAGCCTCTGAAGTGCCTGACTGTCTTTTTAGAAAAAGGCGTGGGCCGTGTGTGCATTTCCGAAGGTAACGTGAAAGTAAAGCTGAATTCCCAGCATACCTGTGGGCAGCTACTGACAGGAACACACTGCTTCTTGCGACACTCTGTCTTCCCCTTCACACAAGCGCAGATGCTACAGTTGACGGAGGACCACATCTCCCCATCCTGCGGGACACAACACAGGATTCTGCTATCAGGCGGAGACCACAGGAGCTGAGTCAGTGGATTGTGGCTTCCCAATTGAGAAGAGCAGGCCTACCCTGCCCGAATCACACAGTTTAGCTAGCCCAAGTGACTCTGGGGCATCTATAGGTCTATAGGTAATCAAACTGGGGTGGTAGGATCTTGCTCTAAAGTACGGAGGATTCTCTGTATCTAACCACGCTGTGTTTGCATCTCACCCCTCATGTGTTTTCTACTTTCACCCTGGAAGATGAGGAAGTATAAATTTTCACTCACAATGCATGAATAAAAATATTCCTCTGTTTAGTAAGAGTGAAATATTTCCTATCTTGGGCAGCACAGTTCATTAAGGCTTTTACATATGGTAATGTGAGCCAAACCCAGCTGTGCCATACCGCTGAGCCACCCAGGACTTGAAAAAAAACAGAGGATATCAAACAGTTCCCAGTGGCTAGGCAGATACCTGCGTGGCAGTCATCTGAAATCACGGAGCCCAGACAGAGAAGCCCTGGAGACATGCATAGCTTGTACACTGCCTGGCTGGCACTCTCCTCTGAAGACGTAGGATGCCATTTGGGGAAGCATTTCTGAGACTAAACTCTTGCTCAGCTACAAGGCTGCTTGGTCAATGTATTGGACTCATTGGCTTTATAGGGTGCCGTTATCCGGGTCTGAGCCAGAACCCATCAGGCAGGGACATACTGTACTGAGGTTGGGAAGATCAGACAACAGGCAGATCTAAAGACAAAAGGGGGGTTCCTTTCCATGCCCGTGGGTTCAAGATCTTTGGTGCAACCCCAACCTCTTGTTTCTCAATTTTTGAAGCCATTTTAAGGACTGCCCATAGTTTGCTTCCTTTCAGGTGAGACAGAACTCACTGGATCTGCCTTAATAGGCTGTTGAACTTATGAGTGTTCTATGAGCAAATATTCCCAGGGCTTACAATCTCTGTAAAGTACTTTAAACCCCAGGCACTAAGAGAAACATTTTTATAAAGTGACTAGAAAGTTTTTATCTAAAGCACTATCAAGAGAGGAATCTATTTTATCTTGGAGCTCTAGGGGAAAGTGATGACTTTGAATAAAGAGGATATTACATAAGTGTCTCTGAAAACTTGTTATATGACCCCTCCTACAGGCTTAATGTGGTCCCTAAGAATCCAGCCCTCTCTTCAACCACGTCAGTGGAAAGGAAGCCTTGAGGAAGCCTCCACATCTGACATGCTGTTAAAGGTCTACAGGCTCATGGCTGTCATCAGGTGTGTCTTTATACAGAATCTCTCTTTCATCCTCAAGGAAAACATATCTAAGAGAGGGGAGACAGTCTGAACTAAGAGGACACCTACTTGTTGAAGTGAAATGGTTACTATCCCACTTACGATCACCAGAAAACCATGTAGAACACACTCTGGGCAGGCAAACCTTTGAGTACCAGGGGTTGGACTCTCAAACCTACGCTGGCCACTTACATGGTAAGCAGCAGCATCTGAACACCTCGACGCAAGCCATTTGTATTAGGAATCTGTAGAATGCTGCTGAAAGGACCCAATTAATCACAGATCCCTCAGGATCTGGCCAGACAATGTGTACTGAGCATCCCCAAGTGAATAAAATGCTCTCTGTCAATTAGGCCCTATAGCCACACCAGCCACGTGGCTTGCTCAGCTGAGTTTCAGACAGTGACTGATCACATATAGAAAGAGTAATAACATTGATGCATTTGGAATCTTTCAAATCCTTGTTTTTAACATATATATATATATATATATATACATATGTAATCACATACATGTACAAATTAATATATTAAATATATGTGTGTATTTTTAAATGTATAAATGAAATAAAACTCTAATCTGCATTATGTCTGGAACCTTTTAATGGCCATTATAGGATAATGGCTCGCACAGCTCACAACACTTGTAACGGTCTATCACATACATACCCTGAAAATCTTGCTACCAAACTTGCACACTTTGCCATCGTCTGGGGGCACTCGCAGGAGACACTCTTCACAACAGGCATCCCCATTGTTGTCACAGACTCCAGGCTGGGAGCACTTCTTCTTACACACCATTGTAGAGTCCTGGAGACCCAAAGGCAGACTAGGAATTAAAAATGACTTTTACCCCTCCTAGGCATCCTCCTCGGCCCTCCTTTAACAACCCTCAGCGGCTCCACCTTGCACTCTCTTAGCCCAATGCTTTCCTGTGGTGCAATAAACATTTCCTCCACTTCAAAACATGTTTCTGGACTAACACCTGTAGCAGACGAGGGTGTGGCACACTCCCGGTCTTGCTTCTACTGGCCTATAACTTCATGCTCAATGTTCTTGCTCAGTGGAAGAAATCCCAGATCACTATGGCCAACACAATTCCTTCTTCCTGCCCTTCTTTCACTCTATCCATAAATAGAGCTTGTTCAGGCTTCTTGTACCTTCCTTGGAAATTAGGAGGAGCACGGTTTGAGGCTTCTTGGAGAGGGAAGCTCCATAGACAGAAAGAGATACGGGGTATCACAATAAATGCAGGCCACCTTTGGTGGCTTGAGTGAGGACATCCAAGACTCATATTTGCATTTTTAGTTCTCAGTTGATAAGCTGATTGAGAAAAATCAGAAGGGTTAGGTAGGTGGTGTGGTCTTGTTGGAGGAATTATGTGACTGGTGGGGGTGGACTTTGATGTTTAAAAAGTCCTGCCAGGCCCAGTTCCCTGCCATCACTACCCGAAGATTATTTTGTAAGGCTCTCAACTACTGCTCCAACCCCATGTCTTTCTGCTTCCCACTGTGATGACAGTGGACTCACCCTCTGAAATTGTAAGCAAGTCTGAAATTAAATGCTTATATAAGAGCTGCCTTAGTCATGGTGTATTTTCACAGCTACGGAATAACAATTAAGACATGACTGTCCCTTTAAGTATCCACTTCCAAAAGATGTCTACAAACTGAGACTGTGAAAAGCCCACCATTTTCAGGAAAAGTATTCATTCTAGTATTCTGGCTAGAATACTGGGACACACTGCCTGATTGTGTCTCAAAGATTCCTTGAGACCCAAAGGGATGTACATGCTAGCATAACTAGCTCCCATCTGTGGGCTGGGAGGCTGTCCCTCAAGCAAGAGAATTGGGAAGGCCACATGTTTCAGCAAAAATTCAGTTTCAGTTTCCAAGAGAAAACTGTGGCCTATGAGATTTCTGGATGGATATGAAGTCGTGGGTTTGGAGCCCAAGTTCACAAGGAGATGTTTAGGACAGCCTCCAGATCATCTCTAAAACACCGAGTATGATTATATTCTTCAAACAAAATCAACAATGATTCCCCCGATGAATAAAATACCTACATTTGCCTATGATTCCAATGTAATCTGAGCTCATTGGGTAGTGCCACGGCCTCTTAAAGCCCCCTTACCTTGCACGTGCATACTGTGCAGTTATCATAGAGAAAAGAAGATACATTGTCATAAACATCACTACGAAACAGGCAGCTCCCAAAAGGAAGGTCAAATACTTTCCTCTGACCTATAGAAAAACAAGATTAAGCACAAAGTAAGCAAGACAGAAACCAGACATATCCCATTATACATCTCCTCAATAGGAATTACATCACAGGGCTGCGGGACAGTCTCGCGTGACCAGGTAAAGGTGATGTACAAAATAGATCCTTAGATCAGATACACCAGGAGGTCCCCAAGAATTACCAATGGGAAAAGCCATTGTATAATGATGGAGGAAGGTCATTGGCTAATAAAGAAACTGGCTTGGCCCATTTTATTGGTTAGAACATAGGTGGGTGGAGTAAACAGAATAGAATTCTGGGAGGAAGAGGAAGTGAGGTCAGACCCAACAGCTCTGCTCTCTGGAGCAGAGAAGCCAGGCTCCGCTCTCCCAGGCAGCTCCGACCCAGGATGGACGGAGGCTAGAATCTTCCTGGCAAGCGCACCTTGGGGTGCTTACACACATCATTAGAAATGGGCTAGTCCAGGTGAGAGAATTAGCCTGTAAGGGCTAGAGTTCATGGGCCAAGCAGTGTTTAATTGAATACATTTTGTGTGTTGTTATTTCAGGCATGAGCTAGCAGGCGGCCAGGGTGCTGGGGACGCAGCCCCGCTGCTCCTATTTCAACAGTATAAAAGTTTGATTCCACGGAGAATTTTGCACATTCAACACACTATCTGTTTACCATAGTGGACATATGCTGCCTTGTGGAGATTACACAGAGTTAAGATTATTTCAGCACAACACGGTGAGTTCTAGAAATTGTGCCTGATTCTGCTGCCTCTTAGATAAGCAGTAACATGATCTCCTCAAGCAGAATTAGTGCGAGGGAGGCTGTAGCTAGAAAGAATCAAGATGCCCTCAGGATTATCATGAAATAGCATATGTTGTGGTCTAAATGGTTTGTGTTCCCACAAAACTCATGCACTGAAACCTAAGCACTGAGCCATCATATTAAGAGGTGAGAGCTTTGAGAGGTGATTAGCGCAAGTTGGTGGGGGTGGCAGTGGCTCTTTATGGCTAAAATGTCTTTATGTAACAGACCCAAGGAACAATCCTTGTTCCTCCCACCATCTGAAGAAAAGCAACAGAAACTTCTAGGAGCTACGAAGAAAAAGCTCAAAGAATCTGTAGGAAGCTTGACATTGGGCTTCGCAGGCTCCAGAAGTGCATTACTGGTGTCTGAAAGTGACCTAGCCAAAGACAATTTACTATAACTGGCTAAACAGATCAACACATAAGATCACTGAAGAAATTACACAAAGGCATAAAAGGGGAAGTTAATTCAAGGGACACACAGGGCGACTCCAATTACATATGCCATATCCAGCTTCTGTGAGGACTGGACTGGTGAGCAAGGAGCCAGCACACTAGGCCAAAAAAGAATATGATCTGATTTATTTCTTTCAGCACTTGAGTTTCTGCTCCTAAGACAACATGGAACCATCTTCGACCTGATTTGTTTCTTTAATTAAAGACTAAGTTAAGAAACTAAAAATTCATGTTCACAGAACAAATTTATAACTACATTTCTCTTTCTTTTTAAGAAATATTAGCATTCATCCTCAGTAAGCCCAATGGAATCTTCATCAGTAGACCTAGAATTGCTACATGCATACCAAATGTTATTCTTACAAATACAGTTGTCAGAAATATCACCAATAGGAGTTAAGGAAAACTATTCTCTTCCTATGGAAGGTCAAGGGTACAGAGCCCAGCATTAAATTAATTAGGTCTCATAATGAGGAGGAAACTGGCCAGACATCAGAGGATAACAGTGAGCTACGTGTGTCGGATCCCATCTATAGATCCCTTCATGACCTTGGGTATGATCATCAATAAAGCCATTGCCTTGTATTATCGCCTCTACCTGCAATGATAATGTGAAAGTATATAACCAAAGACTAGCCCATGGTTAGAAAAATTTAGCAATATCATTGTTTGGCTTGGCTTGTATACTTGTGTGTGTAGTAGTCATGTATGTTGTCGGTGTGTGTGTGTGTAGGCATGTATGTGAGTGTTACAGGTTGATGATATTAGGTGCATTTCTCAATTTCTATCTATTTTATATGTTAAGGTATGGTCTCTCGGTTGTATCCAGATCACTGATTAGGTTAGTGTAGATAATTACTTTTAAGAGTCCCCTCTCTCTAATCCCATGAAGATGGGATTGCAAACTATCCACAAAGTCAATCTGCTACCCCCTGAGTTCTGAGGATCTAAACTATGGTCCCCATACTTGCACGACAAACACTGCTGCCCACTGAGATATCTCCCTAGCCTGAAGCCATTATTAACATCCCAGTCAACAGAGGCAAATTCTTATGTGCCCAACCACATTTTGAGGCTCTCTAACTTCCAGAAAAATATAAAATTCATCCCTTCCTGAAGTACTCCTCTAACGCCCCCAGGGTGTCATTCTGAAGCATCAGAAAACCCTTAGCTAAAATCACATGGATTGCCCCAGCCCATTATAATTACTACTGCCAAAACACATCTTAGATTTAGAACATTATAGTACAAGAAACATCTGGAGCCACTTTTAAAAATATTCATGACAACAATGATGTTGGTAATTTTTCAAAAATTGAACATTATTCTCTTTATCAGTTCGTCAGAGATATGCTTCTGTCTTTGAAGAAACAAAATAAAACTAGACTCCAGGTCAGTATTTTCTAAAATTATGACCTGGATGTTCTTTTCCATACTTTATCTATATGTACTTCAAGTATCTCACAACTGACCACGAATGGTTTTGGCAAAATGTAGACAATTACTAAAATCAAACAGATAGATAGATAGATAGATAGATAGATAGATAGATAGATAGATAGATAGATAATAAATGAATAAATCGTGTCCCATAGATTTCGGCATATTGTGTTTGTATTTCTATTCACTTCTAGGAAATTTTAATTTTCCTTTTTAATTTTTCCCTTCACCTGATTTTGTCATTTCTATTGTTGTTGATATCCAGCAAATCCCTTCACATGTGGGAAGACGCAGTCCAAAGGATGGGAAGAAATCTTTTCCAGCTATACATCTGACAAAGGGTTAATATCTACAATAATACAAGTAACTCAAAAACTTTAACATCAAGAAACCAAACACCTCAATTACAGAAACGGGCAAGAAACTACAAAGAGAGTTCTCAAATGATGATACACAAATAGTTAAGAAATATTTTTTTAATTTATTTATTAAAGATTTCTGTCTCTTCCCCACCACCGCCTCCCCTTTCCCTCCCCCTCCCCCAATCAAGTACCCCTCCCTCGTCAGCCCAAAAAGCAATCAGGGTTCTCTGCCCTGTGGGAAGTCCAAGGAC